CGGAAGTGAGATTAGCTCCATCCCTCTTAACATTCCGTAAGTCCCTCAAGACCTGGCTATGCAATCAGGCCTGGGGTTCCCAGGGGACTGGGGAGATTTTACAATGGCTCCCTTATTGATTTATCCCCTCCTGTTTTGTGTGGTTTTTCTGTTTTTTATATGTAGCTGTTTTTATGTATTTATTTTTTTAATTGTTGTATGCTGCCCAGAGTCACCTTATGTGAGATGGGCGGCTATATAAATATGATAAATAATTATTACTAATTCTTTAAGTTCTTAAGCTTATAATTAATCTTTCTTTTATTCAAGAATCAAAATAAACTCACCAGATAGCTTTTCATACTAGTTGTTCTGAAGATCTCTAATATCCTTAAAGTAGTTAAATGGGTAATTTCCAAATGTGATTAGAAAGTGAGGTTAGTAAACTCTGTTGAGAGCATGATGGTTCCCTTAGTCTCCTGGTGCTCAACCTCACGGGAAACCGCATCCTGCGGTCTCCTCATGAGGAGCAGCCATCTAGAATGTAAATGGGTGATCTGCTGTCCTCTCCTTATCCGGAGACATTCCATGGGACCGGTCTACTTGCCGGTCCTTCGATCTTAGCTCCAGTTGTAATCTCCGCTCCTTCGGAGACATCTTAGTTTGCCATTCCTCACCCAGAAGCTCTGATAGATTATAGTTGACTCAATATTTAGAGTAGAAATAGGATAACATATGCATGCCTGAGGGAAAAATCTAAGATGGTCCCACATATATACGGAACACAACATCATTATAATTAGTTTCTCTAATCTGCAAGGATGGAGACCTATTAAAATTGTCCAGTAGGTTTATGTTACCAGATATTCCTCTATGTTTGGGGGAATTTTCCTGATTATTTTGGTCAGCAATCTTCCTAGTGTGAAAATTGTAATCTGGAATTTGGAGAAGAATCAGGCCAGTAGCACAATTACTCCCATGCATTCCCCATTGCATTGGACCAATTCATAACCTTGATAACATGAGTATTTGACAATGGAAAAAGGCGAATGACAAACAAAATGGAAAACAGTGGAAGGCTCAGACAAAATCTGACTGGTTTCAGGCTACTGTTCTGGTTTCAGGCTACCGTTCTTGTAAGAGCCTACTTTAACAGTGATGACAGCAAATTTCATCACTGTGTTAGCTTTATGTGAACTGTGAACTGAACAGTAAATGCTTACTGCAATTAGTGACATAAAAGAACAACTGAAGGCTGTAGGAACATTTTGCAATATACTTTGTGAGTAAAACTGTTCACTTAACCTCTGAAACGAATTCCATGGCTATCACAGAAACAGCTCAATGCTGTTTAGAGCTCCCTGAGACACACTTTTTTCTAAACAATTTTCCCAAACATATTTTTATTTGCTTTTGTATTAGATATACAATATCTGGACAAATATAAAAACACAACTTCTTTCAGATTTGCACATTATTTATATGAAGTACAAATTAAGTTGGAACATATTCAAATGTGAACCCCTTTTCTTTACTATCTTACCTCAGAAATCTCAAAAATAATTCAAGCACAGGTAAACTCCTTTAGAGAAAGAAATACTGTTTTAAAAGCCTGATGCTTCTGATTTTCAGCTGACTTCCTCAAAGAAGCACATTTGAAAAAAATAAGACTGGATATTGTGTGTACACTGCATAATTCAGGAAGAGGCTTTAAAGTTGGGTCATCTTAAAAGGAATCTCCCCTTTCTAAAATGTGAGTCTTTGCTGTGTGGTCACCTCATATGCAAAAACAGACTATTGCGAAGGCCCCTCATACAACTATACAAGCCTATATGCTGTAAAGATAATCTTCTTGCCTTTTTTCTTTTTTTTTTGGCAAAAGGGATTGTTTTTCTTGGGGCAACTTTCTCTCTGTTTCAAAGTAAGAATCCTTGCTTATCATGAGGCTTGATATTACAAATAGAAAGTGAAACAAAAGAGAAGACAAGAGTGTTTACTTCTCCCCTCTTTTCCCTACTCTTTTCCGGCTACCTACGTATTTTTTTTCTGCCTGCATCCATCACTCGCTCCATTCCCCACCCATCCCAGTAAGAAATCTAAGACAGTGAACCAAAACTATAATTTTTAAATAATGGCTTCTTACCCCTTCCTTTTAAAATAATTTTAAATTTTCAAATAAAATTTAAGATTCAAGAGTATAAAATACCAAGTTTATTAAAATTTTAACTAAATACTATTTTAAAGAAAATGTAATTATATTTCACTACAGAAAATAAAGATCAACAGCTTTAGTTTAATCTACCAAAAATAGGAAAAAAGTTAATATGCATTATTTTGTATATAGTGTTTTATAATAAAGCTACACTAAGAGTCAAGTGTTATCTGAAGTTTTAATAGCATTTTATGATATTGTTGTTGAACTTGCCTTCCATTGCACATGTAGATTATGAAACTGGAATTTTCTAGATGATAGATACAATGCTTTTTCTGTTAAATTTACAGATTAAGGATTATACCTTCCATTTCATACAATTCTTTATTCCAGATTACACAAAATCGTCCTATTATTTCTTCCATATACGACAGAATAGAAAACACTCCACTGGCATGGGGACCCAAACTTCTTTTTTGTGGCCCTGGAACTCCCAGTAGGGACACTGAAATTCAGCAAGTAATCACCAATGCCTACATGTTCTTCTTTCAGTTTTTGGCAAGAAACTAAAGACAATATTGGATAGAGTTAAATACTGGGGTGAAATCTCAAATGGGAAAAGGGACCATAGATCTTACCCAATTACATCATTATAGTGCTTGTCAGTTGAATGATTGATAGATTGATAGTTGGAAAATTATCTGTTGCCTAGAAATTTTGGCAAAACAATTAATTTCTGGAAACACATTTGCCCTATTCTAGCATAATTATATCTGGAATGCTCAGTATAGGTCCATTTCCGTTAAATCTTGCATTCCACAACATCACTCAAATGGCTGTGTTTGATACAATCCTGCATTCCATCAATGTCATTCAAATGACACTGTGCAATACCTGAAAGAAAACTAGTCAGCACTATGGTTGTAAACTCATTGGGTATCGTGATGTAATGGTAATGGGTGTGTTGAGTATTTGCAGTGAACTGATTCTTTAACAATTCCATTGTGTGTGTCTGTCTCACTGAATCAATCCCAAAGCTTTGGGATAACAATATTTTGGGGACCATTCCAATGATAAAGTCTAGCATAGGTATGTGAAATCCTATGCACAAGGAACCAGCCAAAATATAGACAAAAATGATTTGAACAAAGGTAATCAACAATACTCTCCAATATCTTGCATCCTCCTTCCCTCTTGCCTGATCTAGGTGCGTGTGTTTGTGTGTGGGTGTGTACTGTACATGTAAAATATTTAACAAAAGATGTAAATGGGTGGAGGATAATTTTTTGGTAACCCACACAAACTGTCATTAATTAGTATCTTATCCTGGTTGTTCTCCCAGGCTTTGGAGTAGGGTGGATGGAACCCTTTGTTAGAGGTGTTTGTCATGTTACATATGTTCTGATGTTACTTGTCTGGATTTGCCATTTTGTTTATTTTCCTTGCAGCATTTTTTATTGTACGCACATGTGTTTTTTATACTGCAAGCTGCCTAGAGGAAGTTTGGAGTTGGGCACTGACAAAGTCAAAAGAAAGAAAGAAAGAAAGAAAGAAAGAAAGAAAGAAAGAAAGAAAGAAAGAAAGAAAGAAAGAAAGAAAGAAAGAAAGAAAGAAAGAAAGAAATTCCTCCCTCAACTAACCAAATTGAAAGAAATTGCATTGCATTGCAAAGCAATGTCTCACCCTAATTATGCTGAATCAATAAGTAAGATTTTATTTTAAAGTAGTAACATTGTATAGACGAGTGTTTATCTGTCTATTTAAAATCTAAGTTATTAATAACTTATAATCATGAGGCTTTGGAACATCTAACTGCAAGGATGGAATTACCTTTTAATTCTTATTCACTGCAAAACAAATGCAGTATTTCTGTTAAGTATTAACTGATACAGAATGATGCAAGAATCATTTATTTTAATGCTACTTGAAAGCTTATTCAAGTTCATTTTTATACTAAAGGAAAAGTTTATATGCAAAAATCAATTGCAGCCCCATACTTTGGTGCCTGCTGGTCTGAACTGTAAAGATATCAATAACTATGAATTTGTATCCTTTCTGAACTGCTTTCTGAAAGGTGAAATAAATGACAATCACTTGGAACAGTGATTTTACCTCTTTCCGTTTCTGAAGGAGCAGCTCCAGTCTTTCATTAGCTCTTTTACCAATCATTTTGTTTCTCTCAGCTTCATACTGTCTTTGTGTATTATCCTGATGAATACTCAGGTTTAAGGCAACATTCACAAGAGCAGTCATAAGCTTCATAGCTAGGAAAAATGCACACAAACAAAAATAAGTTATTTTCCATGCCTAAAATAATTTAATTTTCTTTTTTTAAAAAACCCAGGATTGGAATATATTCTCTTCTCTTCCTTGCCCTAAATATTACATTCAGGGTACAGTATTATCAAATAACTAGAGCTAGATGTATTTTGTACTTTATAATATCATATCTCCAGTTACGGAGACAAGATGTCATGGTCTATGGGTATGCATGCTGATCTCTCCAAGATGAAGGGAAGAGATTGGACACATTGGTTTAGTGGTAAACCAGTTTAGTGGTACATCCAAATGTGGCAAATTTGTTCAAACCATGATTTGCCCACAAAGCAAAACCAAATCAAGTTACATTTTTGAAACAATTATTTGCTTTATACTAACTAGAAGCAGAAGTTTCTGATCTACTTGCTTTGAAGTAAAATATGGGTGCTACTTTGCATATAACAATCAGCCAGAATCTATGTAATTACGTCTTACTCACAACAGTATATAAATCAACAGTCAAGAGAAAACCTCCCCCCCCCAAATTCCATAATAATATTAGAACACTGCAGTTCTCTGGTTTATTTACCCACTGTCTGTGGAAGTCCGAGTGAAGATAAATAACATCAATCCTGGCTTATTGTTGTCTGTGAACTAGTTCAGTATGTAATTCTAAAAGCTTATACCTAATAGTTCTCAATCAAAAAACAAACAAATAAACAAAGAAAGTATTTGCTGATATATATTCATTTAACCTGAAGTTCCCATTTGCAATCACTAGTAACAAATTTAAAGATATCAGTCCTCTTCAGGATTCATCATAATCTACCATTTTCTCATTTCTCACCCTCAGTCTTCATACATTCGGCAACCTGTATTTATATGAACAATCTACACAACCTGCATTCCTGCTTTATCCAAGGCTTGGTTTGTGCAGAGAGCTCTATTCAAGTTTAAGGAAAGATGGATACAACTCTCTAAAGCCTCTGACTGCCAGGCATGGAAGAGAGAGAAAGAAGGGGATGGGGCTGCATGTACTTTCTTCTCCTTCTGTCTAATTAAATACAACTATTGTTACTTTACAATCAGATCATCAGCAATTGTTTTCCAGAGTTAATCTAACAATTTTGATGGGGAAAGTAAAATCACTCTTCCCTGGGATATTGGTAAGATTAGAGTCATTCAACGAGTTGGGCAGTGACAAATTTGATATATAAATAAAAACTTAAAAATTCCCTACATAGCAATTATTTTACTTCTGAGAGAAAGAAAGTGAGAGAGAGAGAGAAAAAGAGAAATATATTTCTTTGAATGCAATGGACCAAATTTTCATTTGGACTTCCCCCTGAAACAAAGGACAAGTCCACTTCATCCAAACTAGTTTAGATGAAGCAATTAAATTTAATTATTTTACATTAATTTTTTGAGATCATTCCAATTTATATTATTTGCAGATTGATGTCATCTGTGTTAATTTATGTAATTCATATTACACAAATGACATACAAGGAAGTACTGTACTTTTATATTTAATAGACTTAAGAAGTAACAGACCTCTCCACAAATTGTCATTAAAACGAAGTACGATTGTATATTAAAAAGTTTCTTTCAAGGTTTATTTGTAGAATATCATATCAAGAAATGTAATACAGGACAGGTTTATAAAGAAAGTTATTGATTCAGCTTTACAACTTTTATAGTTCTAGGGAAAAAGAAAGCCAAATAGATTAAAAATAAGTTATGTGCAAAATCTTTTTTGTTGGAGTGATCTTATTCTGCAACACCTTGTTTCCCCAGAACTAGCTGATCCAAGCATTTCTACAAGTATACTGTCTGAAACTGGAACAATTATAAATCCCTTCTGAACAATTCACATATGAAAATATATATTCATATCTCCTGAATAAATTGTCCCAAAGATAATAAAAATCAGTAATAATATACAAATTTATCACAATGTAAACATGCATTATTCTGTATGCTTTGTCTTTAAAATGTACCTACCAGCAAGTGTACTGGTATGTCTGAAAGCTCGAACCTGCGAATCTGACAAACCAGTCAGAAGTGAGATCACTGTGTCCATCATGTATTCATCATAGATGATGCTATATTGACATTGTCGTATTAGTACTCCTATGAATTCACAAAAATTTGATCTGAACTTTTTCCACTGTGGCCCAGGCATGGTAAGTGGATAGTCGCCACTGTCCTAAGGGAAGACCAAATGCACATACTATATTTAAAAAACATGCTTAAGTTTTAATCAGCTTGTCTTCTAACTAAAATATGAAGTTTTAGCATGGTTTATATTTTATCTGAATGACCAAAAACTTGGTAATTTCAAATAAATGTACATTGTACTGATAATCAAGAAAACAAAAGTGATGAACATGTCATACATGAGGCCTTTTTTTAAACAAAGAGACATGTGGAGAAATATGCAAAACATTATTTGATGAAACAGTCAGTTTCTGGGGGGTCTGTGTCCAGAACAAAACATGCTTCTCTGGGTGTGAAATTTATGTTTCAGGTAGAAGTATTTCAGGATGGGGAAAGCAGGAAATGGCAATGCCATCACCAACAGCAAAGGAAACAGAGAAAGGAAGGCAGTGGAAAGGTTGGGGAAGGACAAGTGAGCTAACTGGATATGCTATGTTTGACTTCAAGGGTGGAGTTGTCAAGGGGCTTAAGGGAGCATCTATGTCACACCATCCCAACCCTTGAATTCAAGCATGGCATATCCAACCAGTCTACCTGTCCCTCCTTCTGATCTTCCCAGCACTGCTGGGATATGCTGCTGTTGAATTGAAGGGTGGTGGTACTGTAAATTATTTTAAATATATATTAATTCTATAAATAACTAAAGAAGTTAAAGCAGCTAAGAGGAGGTACAGAAACAAAGACACTAGAAGACTGGTGGGCATATAGGTACACAGGTCAGGCGAAGGAGAAAGGGAAAGCCCATCAAACTTATCCTTCATGCTTTGAATGACCTCTGTAGGGTTTTTTGGGGCTGGGGGCTGGCTGAAGCTTAGAGCAACCAAAATGTTGGAGGTTTTGGCTTGGCTAAATTGCAATCTGAACTACAATGTGTTGTCTTCAAGCTCAAAACAAAAATGTCCTGTTTTTTGCATATCCTCCTGGGGGGGGGGGGGGGAGACAAGATAGAAATAATATTTCCAATTCAATTATATTGTATTATATATGATCTTTTGATTTTTATATCCAACCATAGTTTCATTGTCTAATGCTGTTTTTATGATTTCCAAGAGCTCAGTTATTTTATCTTTTAAGCGTCAGGTGAAAGACTTGAAATGCCTCTATATTTTAGTTGGTTATATAACTGCAATACACTCTACATGAAGTGCTATACAGGCCATAGGGCTTCAATTAGCCAGAATGCAATGGGCCAGTTAGTAGCTGGCATTTGTTGCTAAGAGCATATTTTACCTGTGCTCCAGGCACTGCATTGGCTTCTATCAGCTTCTGAATGCAATTCAAAGCACTGATTGTTACCTATAAAGTCCTATGGGGCTCAATGAAAGGATAATTGTGGGACCATTTTCATCAACTGAAATTGTTCCAACTGATTTATATGTCCTGGAAAAAAATGTTGGCAATTCCTCATTTCCATAAGGTATGGGAGGTAGAGGCCTGTATGCAATGCTGTTTAGGAACAGTATTTATTTTGTGAAATAGCCTTCCTGCAGAAATTTGATCTGCCCCCAGCCTTTTGAAAACTGAATTATTCTGAAGGGCCTATGGTAAATAGGATTCCTTGTTGGTTTATATACGGTTTTATGTTTTGAAATTTATTTTCACTTATTTTAATTGTATCATGGATATTTAAGTATAGATTTAATTACTGTTATCTGCTAAGAGTCTCCCAACTGTAGCTGGTATAGATTTGATTAAATAAATAAACAAGTACTAAAAGATTTACTACAGGTAGTCCTCATTTAGTGACCACAATTGGGACTGGCAACTCAGTTGTTAAGCAAAATGGTCACTAAGTGAAACTATGACTGTGCTTATGATCTTACTTCAGCTTTCCTTTGCTTTATAGGCTGTGAAGGTCATAAATGCGAGGATTGGTAATAAAGTTACTTTTTCATCAATGTTGTAACTCCGAACAGTCACTAAACAGGGCAACTGCTAAATGAGGACTATCTGTATTTGGAAAAAAAATGAGTTCTACTTCTGGGATTTGTATTGTATTTCATCTATTTTGAGATAAACTTATTTCCACCATAGAGGTATTTAAATAGAAACTAGATGTCAAACAAGCTGTATTTTGATGTACGATACCACAAAGTAGTAAAGTAATCTGTATACTTCTGTGCAACCCTGTGATTTGAAATTTGACATAGTCCATACTCTCTAAACTCATATTTGTTATAAACAACATTGGTTGTTAGCACAAAAAAGATGCTTTAAAACTCGTGTAAAATATTGTTCACAATTTAACTCCCAAGTGACATGGATTTGAGTCCTGAATCTGGAATCTGAATATGTCATTTGGGATCATAAAAAGCCAAAATAATAAAGTAGCATTTAGTAGAATCATGTGCATTATTTGGCATTCCTCAACTCCTGTGTAAAAAGAACAAACTTCAATGAATTAATATTTACTGGTGACTTCATATACAAGTACATGTAATATTCTTAGCAAGAATACAGAAATATTTTGCCATTGCTTTCTTCCAGGATGTTTTCTTTTTTCTTTTGACTGCCCACTCTAACCTATAGCCCTCTTACTTCTTAGCATCCCATCTGGTACTCATCAGGTCTGTAGAAGGTCTAAGAAGCAGTAAAGTGAGACAGAGGAATTGAGTTTAATTAACTTTCTTGCATTTAGTGCTAACAACAAGAAAACTCCATCAACATGGAAAGCATATTTCTAAAATGTATGTTCCAAACCAAATTAATATTTTTAATTTTATATTTTATTTTATATTATTTTTAATTATGATGCAGAAAATTAATTGTTGGGGGGCAAAAAGGAAGTAAGCAGACAAGATTGTCATTCCATTTTTTATATGAAAATGTATTTGAAAGTTTATTTCATTAGACTAGATATTTCTGACATCTAATAGTACACTGTATCTGGGCGTTTGGGGTTATTTACATTTTAGTTTGGGACATAAGTAGAGTTAAGTATCATGCAGTAGTAATAGAAAAGAGGATTGTATATGTGAATATTGAGAAATTTCCCACAAAATATAGTTTTCACCTTTAAAATTCACAATGTACTAGAACTTCTTTATATGCCTATACTAAACTATCTGACATCTAGAGATATTTTATTTTAGCCTGCTCATGACAAAAAATTGTACCACAGAATTTTCTATCCCTTTCTATGCTGCATGTGTGTATATGTGCACATCCCCCATACTTTTGCTGAACTTGCATTCTTTATACAGATTATTGAATTCAGCAACTTTTTAAACAAACAAAAAGAAAATGGTTCTATTTCTTAAGGTATCCACTTTATCAATGCATATGGTATTTCACAAAAAACATATCTGATAGTTTCTCATCATATGAACTACAGATAGAAACATGAAAACAATAGAATATGTAAGTTTAATTGCTTCATCTCCCATTCCTGGACTAGAGAAGTTGTTCCAAAAGCTTTCTGAAGAAGGTAAATTTGAGGAGAGATTTAATACTGGTCAATGACTGTAATAAAGATTTCTTTAAAGAGAGGATTTTTATTTTTAGGGAAGGAAGTATATTATATGCTCTGAGAAGAAGTTGGGACAGATGGGACAGAAAAGGGAAAATTACAAAATCATTGTAAGTTAATAGGAGACCTTCCAATACCTGAACCATGGATTCAAATTAGTTAATTTCACAAGAAAAAATATAGTAAAGTACAAGAGAAGAAAAACAGTGGGGTAGGTGGCCACAGAAAAGCTTATCAGAATCTGGTAGGGAATAGTCAATATTAGGATTAAGGAGATGTCATCATTCGGTAAAAACAGCGAAATGGTTAAATTTGTTTGGAAAAAGAACGCTGGATAGATATTAGGGCTTAAAGCTCTTCAGACCTGAGCATAAAAAAAATCTCTTTGGAGTATGCCAGAGCAATTATGTAGTACCTATCTGCATATATTTAAATAAAGTGTGACTTTTCCTGTGATCATGTGTGAACTGTGGAGAGCAGCTGCATAATCCCAGGAAAAGACATGGCTTTTTAAAATATTTGCAAACAGGTGCTATGTAAGTATCTCCATGTGCTCTGAAGCACCAATTTATGCTCAAATTGGAAGCAAAGTACTGCCTGAACAGGAAGGGGTAGATCATAAGAAAATGGAAAATCAGATACAAGACTATAATAGTGAAGAATAGGATGACAAGGGTAAGATTCCCAATTTTTGCCAAAGAAAGAGAGAGAAAAAACGCTACATTTAGAAATACTATTAAGGGAGAAAAAATATATGGTGATTAGCAGAGTTTTTGAATTGGGAAGGAAAAAGAGACAAAAAGTTCATGCCTGATCAAATAGGTGACAATGACAAATGACTAATAGTCAGTGGCCAAGTATAGTCAACAAGTAGAGTGATCAGTGATGTTTGGCCTTGGACATGTGAGCTTCAGACAACTCTGAAACTTTCAGTCAAATTTATCAGAGAAGCATTTAAAGTTAAGAAACTGCATGAGAGAGATGTAAAATTGAATGTTATCAGTATATAAAATATTTAAAACTGTGGGTTATGATTAGGTTACCCAGGAAAAACCTGTCTGGATGTGTGTGTGGATTGCTTTATTTAGTTCTACATCATACTCCTCAAATACTCCAGAATTGTTGATAACAATGTTGAAACAATAAATAATATTTTCATAAATAAAACCAATATTTTATCAACACAAAGAACAAATCAGCAACACAGAAAAAGGAATAACAGTAAACGACCAGATACAAAAAGGCATCAAGAGATGGAACAGAAGAATTATCTTCAGTGGGATATTGAAAGAGGAATGATACAGATAGGAATAAACTGTATTCTAATGGTTCCAGTAAGATACCAAACTGGAATCTACTGAACAACCCACTATAGTTTTATAGCCTACAGCACTTAATTTTTGCCAAATTTCCCAAGTCTACTACAAGCAAGCAATTCAACTTCCCCATAAGAAATCGGTGCTTTGGGACTAGCCTTTCCAATGACTGCTTGAAGATGGGAGAAGCCTGTGTCAGGAAACTAAAAAGAAGTTAGCAATAAAAGAGAGAATGAACAGCTGGACCACCACCTGCTTTAGCCCCATGAAGAGTCGGACACGACTTAACGACTGAACAACAACAACAACAACCACTGGCATATGTCATCCAACAGATGACACTCCTGAAATAAAATCCTTGATGGAACAAAACTTGCCCACCTCTGTAACAGAACAAGAAGGTAGTATTTGATGTATTATCCTACAAAATATGCACTTTAGTCTTTTAGGATATGGGAAGTGCCTCAATGGGCTGTTTTAAAAACAAATTTTAAAACAGCAGGAGGAGTTTCTTTAAGATAGGGCAAAAGTAAGTTTTGATGATTGGTGGCAGAGGTATAGAAATGTCATAAAGTGCTTCTATCAAAACAAAAACTATAAGGGCCTTAATACAATCTATGTATGCTTACTGAAAAATAAATGGCTCTTTACACTTAAGCTAGCCATACATAAATTAATGAGACTATATTAAATCTTACACATTAAATCATTAAAGATATTTTCATAATATTTGAATTAATTTGGGTTCATAAATTGCAGCTTATTCTATAAGAAAATACTGCAAGTATGGTAGAATAAATACAATACAAATTCTCTTCTGTAAACCGCCCAGAGTCACTTTTTAACAAGATGGGCGGTGACAAATTTGATATATAAATAAAAAAATAAACCCAATATGTAGCCTACAATTTTAATTACAGAGCTCCTTGATGTATTCTTTAATTGCTATCAGGTCTTTATTTCTCCAAAACAATGCCTGAATTTTTTTCCCCACGCCCATTCCTAAATTTTGTTCCTCTTTTAAGTATTTTACAAAAAAATATTTCTATTGCCAGGGTGCAATCCAGGCAAAGTAAAACAAGCTTAATTTCAAACCATTTCAAAAAATAATGAAATCTATGTTTAAAACTTTGTCACTGAAGTCAGTTTGACTTCAAAGTTCTGTGCCAGTGCAATACATCTGGATAACTATTGCTTCCATCTCTTAAGAGTCCACTCCTTTTTCTTTTTTTACCGACAAGGATATGTAATTACGTTTTCATACAATATAACTTCTTAAATAATTAGACCACATAATCAGACTAAAGCTCTCTTTATGTCCAATTTTACTTAAGCTTAAAACATATTTTGTGTATGTCCAGTACTATACCTCATCAAATTCTTCAGTCATTTTCCTGATAATTTCTGCATTTTGCATGTTTCTAAACATTTCAATCCGCACAGTGCCTGAAATAAAGTAAGCAAGCATAAATATGTTTTATTATATTTAAAGACATCTTTATTTTGAAAATTCTGAGCACACACAAAGACGTTAAAGGACATAATGGCAAATGAGTATGCATACAGGATTTTCTTTCCTTATTTACATCTAGCAGCCAATTATAAAATTGTTATAATTACGTTATTGGTCTGTTTTTCTAGAATAGATTTTTGATGTGTGCTTCTCTTAGATATTAGATACTAGTAGGACACTAGGACACATCATCTGCCTATTTATTCTCTATACAGGCATTAGAAAGATCAGATTTTGTTTACCTTCAGTCATGTTTCAGGAAAATTAAACTTCTTTGCGTGACTGGGCTTATAATGGAAGGAAATAAAATATGAAGGATGCTAGTTTAAAATATTGTTTGAACTTGAACTTACAATGTTCTAATTTGGAAAGAACTTTTGTATACTGTAAACAGAACATCTGAAAACTTTTTAACTGAGAGAATGAGTGCCCAAAACAAACCAGGTAATACAAAGAGCTATTTTTAGTGTTCCAAACTCAGAATACCCTGTACTCCTGGTATCCCAACATAGCAACTTGGGAAGCAAAACTTGCCTGTAGACAACTCTTTCAAGTTATGTTTATCCAACATGTCCTAAGTGCCTGTCAATACACTACACATAACCCTCTTCTTTACCTTTATGGGATAAGGGCAAGAGCATATTGGCTTGCAAAGCAGACTTTAGATTAAAGATCCTAGCTTGCATAAAAAAGTATACACATGGTGGGGTAAATGTCCCAAACTGACCAATATTGTTCTCACCATTAATAGGGAATGCTCTATGTGGCCCAAGCATGAATAAAGCTGGTAATTTAGTCTACTAATTTTTATATTTTATGATGAATTATGTAAACATTTCAATTGACTAAGACCATGTGTGATTGGGGAGAAGTGGTCCCACAAATAATCTGGCCCCATACTATGGAGAGTTTTATAGGTAACCACCAGCACTTTGAATTGAGGCATACTGGCAACCTATGCAGCTCACAGAGCACAGGTGTAACATGCACAGATCAAGAAGTGCCCATAACTACCTACACTGCCGCACTTTGTACCAACTGCAGCTTTTGGATATTTTTCAATAGTAGCCTTATGTAAAGCCTAATGCAGTAGTCATGCGGGAGGTGATTAAGACATGAGTGACAGTGAGCAGAGCCTCCTGGTCCAGGAAAGGGCACAATTGACACACAACACAAAACTGTGCAAAGGCTCTCCTGGTCATCTGTCAGTACTGATGAGGTATCATCAATATGCTGATGATACCCAGTTGTACATCTCTGCCCTCATCCAAGTGAATCCTAATTTCTAGAGGCTGTGAAATCTGAATAGGGAAGAACAGGTTTAACCCTACCAAGACTGAATGGTTATGGGTTATGGGTCCCTCGGATCTAAGATTGGAGTGTTTCCATCTTTGGTTCTGGACAGGGTGGCGCTGCCTCATTCAGACTTGATATGCAATCTGTGGATCTTCCTGGACTCACAGCTTCTGCTCAAAGAGCAGGTAGCAGCTTGGCCAGGGGGCCTTTGTACAACTGTGTCTTGTGTGCCAGTTGCGCTCATTCCTGGACCATGCCTTAGTAACCTCCTGATTGAACTATTGCAATGCATTCTACACTAGCCTGCCCTTGAAGACTATCTGGAAGTTTCAGTCGATCCAGAATGCAACAACCTAAGACATTGCTACTCCCTGAGCTGCACTGGCTCTCAATAGGCTTCCGGGTGTGGTTCAAGGTGGTAGTTATAATCTTTAAAGCGCTACATGGCATAGGACTACGTTACTTGTGGGACTGCCTTCTCCCAAGGACTTCTGACTGCCCTACATGCTCCCACGGGGGTTCCTTCTTTAGAACTTGGCATCTCATGGGACCTAGGAAACATGCCTTTTCAGTGACTGCCCGTGCTCTGGAGTGACCTGCTCTCTGATATACAACAGACCCCAACTCTGTTTCCCTTTAGAAAAGCCATTAAGACCTGGCTTTTTCTCCAGATGTTTGGGTCCAGTTGAGTGGAGTCCCCTTTTCATTGTTTAATTATTATGTTTGCTCACCATTTTATATGTTATATATTGGGTAGGGTTTTTAATGTTGTGTGTGGGGGGGTGTTGCTTGTTTTTGCTGTATCCTTTTGTCACATTGTTTCAGTTGGGTGGCCCTATAAATGCATTAAATAAATAGCATTAGAGGTTAGATTAAACCCCCAATGAAATCAATGGAAAGTGGATGTATGGAAAGGATATAGAACTGCTTGAGTTAAGTGAAAACATTTTTGTGCAATAAATTATACTGTGAAATTATTTATTTATTTCTTTAGCAAACTTATATGGTTGCCCATCTTAATCAAATAATTCTGTGTGGCTAAGAGAGGATAAAAATAAAAACATGATAAAAATTGTAAAAAGAATAAAATTATGATAATAAGAAGTACAAAAAAGGATTTTTGGTGCAATGTTGAAGTGAAAGAGACTGTGGATATATAAAAGAGAATGCTGATAAAAATGAATATGATAAAAATATACTACATAATGGGTATATAAGATAGCTACAAAGAATGTAGAGAATGAGACTATCCATTGTTTATAAGGAATGTTTATGATGATGTTAGAGGTTTGTTACTAAATATCTGAGAACCTTGGTATGCAGAGGATACTGTGTAGTTGGCTGAGAATGATTTATAGGGAACTTTGTGTGCCCTGTACAACAAGGATATGGATTGGATATGCATACACTGCAGAAAGGATACTGAAGGCTGTGGTTATTGTGCACTTTATTTCCTCTATCGAACATGATCGCAAAATATGGCAAATCAGAGCAAGTAGACAAATATATGTCCCTGGTACAATGTTTACCAATGATGGGGAAATGAAGAAATTTTAAGATGTGAAAATGCTGGCAGAAAGATAGTAAATCCGTTTGTCAAGAGAAGCAAAAATAACTGCATGTGATTCCAATCAATTTGTTATATTGAAGTGAGAGATGGGAATGTCAAGAGAAGCAAAAATGCACTGACAATTGCTTGAGAAGTGTTTAGTAACAAAATAAGAGATATAGTTGGGAATAAATGGTACTAAATAAATGAGGAAAAGGAACTAGAGCTTGCAAGGAAAACTAACACATCAAGAAGAGTTGGGTTAATCTTTTTTGGCTGTCAGCAGAAAAAAAAAGGTGTAAACAAATATGGTTTCACTGGTAACAGAGGGTAGGATAATCCTGATAGGATTGTAACAGGTGACTGGAAGAGAGAATAATAAGTGTCAAAATTCTGTAACAAATTATTAAAAAATAGTTTTGTGAGCAAAGAATGCGCTGCTCACAGGAACCAGCATGGGTTTCTGAAAAACGAATCATGCCGGATCAACCTAATATTTTTTGATGGGGTGACCAGTTTAGTAGACCATGACAAGGTAACGGACATAACATACCTTGACTTCAGTAAAGTATTTGAGAGTTTTCATGAGATTCTAGTAGGCTGGATTATACTACCATTAGATGAATACAGAGCTGGCTGAACAATCATACCACCAAATGACTGTCTATGAATGGCTCTGCAGGGTTCTATTCTAGGCTGAATGATGTTCAACATATTTATACATGATTTGGATGAGGGGCAGGAAAATATGATTATATAATTTGCAGATGATACAGTGATGGGGGGATAGTAGACACCTAACAGAACAGTATCAGGAGGTTGTTGACAAGTTATAATACTGGGAAAAAATCAGCAAGATTAATTTCAGCAGGGACAAATTAAAAAATGAAGGGCATGAGTATAGGACAGAGGTTCATAGTGGGTAGCAATACATGTGAAAAAGTTCAGGGTGTCTTGGTGAATCACAAGCTGAATATGAGCCTACAATGTGATGCAACCACCCCAAAAAAACAACAACTTTAGGTTGCATTAACAAAAGTCATATGTTGAGATGAAGAAAAACAGCCATTCCTCTCTTTCCTTGGTCAGAATGCACTGAAAATACTGCATCCAGTTCTGGGTGCCATATTTAGGAAGGAACAGATAATCTTCAAGGTACCTTCCAACCTTTAGCCTGTGACTACAAAAGAAGTACACTGCAGTGGCATGGTCATATAGAGAATGAATGAGGATCACATAAAAAAACAAACACATGAGTGAATGGGGTTGAGAAGAAAAGGAAAATTTTTAAAAAGTTATGGTTGGAACTGATGAGATCCTTAATAAGAGAGGTGAGACATTTAAAGAACAAAAGGCAATGTATGAATCAAGGTATAACCAGGGTGAAAGCAAAGATGGTTTGCAAAGATAAAAATGATATTAAGAGATATAGTGAATGTTGTAGATGTAAACTAGATTTGGGTATATTTCCTTTCCTTCTCTTTCCATTTCTCTTATCTCTTGCCACCTAGCTATAAGTAAGGTGTAGATTCATCCTTCCAGTGCTAACTTCTATGTACAAAAGATCAGCAGTTGTTGATGTCTTCATAGGTTCAAAATGCAGGGGATAGAGGATGCAGAAAGCATGCATTCTTAATCAGCAAAGTTTCATCAAAACTTACGTTAACAGTTCTGGGCCTTCAGGTTATATTGCAATTCCTTTCTTTATCTTGGTATAAAATTTCTATCAAATATTCTCAACTTATACATTTGAATATATCCCTTATTTTTATGCAAATAAAAAAAGATCTAGACAGTCTAGGGTTTTTAAGAAGAATGTAATCCAAAGTTGATTTACATTTTCAGTTTTTATCTTTGTTTTTATAGATTGTTGTGAGCTGCAATGTGAATCATTATGAGGTAGGCAACCATATAAGTCCTGTAAATAAATAAGTATGTAAGTATGTAAGTATGTAAGTATGTAAGTATGTAAGTATGTAAGTATGTAAGTATGTAAGTATGTAAGTAAGTAAGTAAGTAACTAACTTACTTACTTTTGGCTTAGTCAATACACAAGTAGGATAAATGAGTAAGTCATAGTTCATTTTAAGGTAGTATACCACAGTTGAAATCACAGATACTACTAGCTTACTGAATGCAATGGCTATACAAGTGGTAAAAAGGAGAAGTAGTAGTAGCTGTTTATTGGCTTGTTCCTGGTTTCTTTAAGAGCCATACCAAAACCACTAACTAATCCATGGAGAAGCAAGACAAGAGTACATGAAAAAAGGAAAAGAAAATAAATAGGGATTTGGCCAAAAGAGCCATGCTCCTTTTACTGCCACTAGCTTACAGTATTTTAACAAAGCATAGTTAAAACAAATACTTTACTGCAGGGATGTGAAAACTGCCCTCCAAATGTTGCTGAACTGCAGCAGCTAGCATGTTCCATTACTGGCCATGCTTGTTTGGGCTCTTGGGAGATAACAGTTCATTGATCTCTGGAGGGCCAAAGGATCCCCAAAAGTCAATTGTATAGAAGAATGTTACTATGATTATATGACAACTAGTTTTTTTAAAAATATGTTTAAAAATTAAGTTTATTTAGTTTCAGTATTCTCCTGTATATTACATTGGAATTGGTTGATGAAGCTTTTCCAAAGTTATTTTCTTTGCAATCAGATTTGCATTTTGGATAAAAGGCCATCCTAGACAAATTTCCTCAGAACATGAGCTCAGATGTATACATACGTGTTACAAGAAGCTGTATTCTTTGCAACTTCTCATTTCCAGAGACAATATTAATTTTTGAGTAAGCTTGCAGAACTAATTGTGAGGTTAATTTACCTCAGTGAAACTACTTTTATTCTATGTTATATTAAATAATATTATGACAGTTATTAGTCTGGAAATACGATATACCAGAAATAAGGGCAAGTGAAGAAAGAGACCATGAAACTAAATATACACTGATTTGTTTCTAACAGAAAAGATTAAGAAGCAAGTTCAAATGACCAGGCAGAGATGGCAGAGGCACTGTAGAGAAAATTTAACAAAAGACATTAAGATGGATTTATGGGAAAATTTGTTAAAAATTTTCCAGATTTTGTACATTTGGTCTTACTTTGGTCTTACCACATTTATTTATTTATTATATATTACATTACATTACATTACATTACATTAATATATATGTATGTATGTATATAAAAAGCCTATTGCCAGAATTAAAGGAAGAATTTTTACCAATCATCATTTGAAATATTGAATATAAATTAACATGTTTACATTAATCCTAGTTCATTATTTAGAGTCAAAGGCTGCAACAAATTTTAACATAAAGATTTATCTGCATTTCAAAGCCACAGCAGCACCATGATCTTTTCTTACATTTAACAATTGTCCTAATTTTAGATACCCTTCATATCAGCATAAACAATATGGTTCCAGAACAGAATGTGAAAGGACATGTTGAGTTTTGTATTAGAAATTATTGAGTCTTAGGTCATAATTTCTGGAAGATTAATAGTATACTACTTTTTAAAAAAAATGTCTTTCAATTTTAGAAAGTATGGATAAAATCAACACAAGTGTTTTCCTTCACCCATGTGCTTCAAATTCTGTCATTGTGTTTCACTTATTTTATTGCACAGGCATCTTTTAGATTCTTGCAGCATAATCATTTTTTAACTGTAAACAAGAAGTTTTCTAATTCACATTGTACATGTAAAGAATACACAGAACCAGAGCAGTTTTATAACATTTTTTTATAATATGCAGTTTTATTAGCATATTAGCATATTAGCAGTTTTATCCATTTTACCTCGGCATCCTGAACAGTGGATGAAGAAGTTGATTAAATCCAGAAGTGCTATATCCCTGTCTTGCTTATACAATTCAATCCAGTCATCTACCACCGACTGTCAATAAAAGAGAAGGAACAGTCAGATATTCATTGCAGATTTTTAATGGAAAGACAGAATTCAATGCTTCATCGTACTGCATATAAATAAGTCAACTTTCTCCAGTGATTTCAAATATGTGTTAAATAGCATGTTGTGATTAATGGAATTAATATATTATAGACAAACACCCAGGTGTAGAGTAGGAGTCCGTTACCACAATCTTCTGAAAACACTCATCTGAGTAGGAACAGAAATGCCATAAAATAGTACCTTCAAGACTGTCAGGTTTAGCCCAAAGAACTCCAAGAGACAATACAAATCCAGTTCTACTGTGTTTATTAGCTACAACCTCTATACAGAAAAATCTCCCCAGACTGAAACCTAGCTCCCAAGCCAGCCAGCCAGCCAGCCAGCCAGCCAG